CTTTGGGCTCAATCGCTCGATCAACCTGTCCTGTGTTTTGTTTTTGTGCATTCTTTGCTGCTTTTGGTGTATAAATCACATTTTATGAACCTGTGTCTGCAGGTGTACTGGTTCACTGTGGAGTTTGGCCTGTGTAAGCAGGGCTCTGAGATCAAAGCGTACGGAGCTGGCTTGCTTTCATCGTTTGGAGAGCTGCAGGTAAGACGAGGCTGAGTCAGAGGCTCCAAGAAAACAACATGCACATCAGCGAGCACGGCCCCTCGCAGCAGCAGCAGCAGCAGCAGCGAGAAATTGTTTGCTTTTTGTGTATTATTTGTTAAAAGACATTCAGCTTGTTGCACAACAGCCGCTGTGCAGGCAGTGGGTTAGTGGTTCACTCAGACTCGGGTTTAATGTGTCACTGGGGGAGTCGGCCTGCCTGCCCAGCGGGGTGGCAGTAAAGTGGTTCACTGGGTAAGTGGGAGCAGAGAGAGGATGAAGAGCTCGCTATCGAGGTCACAAGTTACATCAGCTGCTGTCAGCAGAGGATGTTCACTCTGCCAAGTCAACAGCAAAGCCCTGAATCATGCTGCACTTCCTGCTTACTGACGAGAACAGAGTCACTCATTGAAAAAGTTTATCCACGCCATTAAAAAAATCACATTTTTTTGCACTGTTTTCTTTCAGTATTGTTTAACAGACGAGCCCAAAGTCCTTGCCTTCGACCCCGACAAGACCAGCCTCCAGAAATACCCAATCACAGAGTACCAGCCTGTTTACTTTGTTGCTGAGAGCTTTGAGGATGCCAAAGAGAAAGTGAGGTAAGATGTGATGTTTTTGTTTTTTAAAACTAAACCTTTGAAAAGTGTTCAGCCTCTTTAGGTTGCGTGCTACACTTGTTCAATATTGCTGTCCGTCTGCAGGAAATTTGCAGCCACTATCCCCAGGCCTTTCTCAGTGCGCTACAACCCCTACACCCAGAGTATTGAAGTGCTGGACAACACCCAGCAGCTCAGGAACCTGGCCGACAGCATCAACAGTAAGCAGCAGCCAGGCTTGTAAACAAAAAAATGGCATTTTCTTTGGTTAAATCAGCCTTTTCTCATTATGTAAAGAAGTGTTTCCCGACTATTTAGATTTTTTGGTCAACCCATGTTTTACTGGGACCCATCATTACTGGTTCCATGGGCTGTAAAGGCATTCGCAATGGAATAAAGCATTGCATTCACTAAAGATTAACCATTTAGAGATCTTATCGCTTACAAATCTCAGAAAAAGTGTGTAATTACATTCTCATTCCAAATGCTGTAATTATAAGAACAGTTAAGACGGTAAGGCTTATCAGTCATCACTATACCTGACATGCTGCCTTTAAAGATTTCTTCACATGTGTGAACAGTTTGAACTGAACTGGAAATATAATTGATACAACCAGTTCCACTGTATGAGGCAACATGAGCCCCATTTTTTAACTGATATTTTTAAATCTGGGACAGTTAAGTATGCTGGACTAGCTCTTAGCAGCTCCTCTTTGCTACGCACCACTAGATGTAGTGACAACTGTCCCTGAGTTACACTAATACTGAAGAAACCTTAAAGATCTGGTGATTCTCCAACAGGTTCTGAAGTGTTCCCACTCCTAGTCTGTTGTGGAGCCAACAGATAGAACCACAGATTGTTATAGATGTATTAGCATCAGCACCTGTTGTCCAGTATACACCAATATGTTCTCTTACAGATCATAATATAGAAAAATATGCTTTGGGTAATTTAGAAAATGTGCACTCACACAGTTTGTCCAGCAGAGCAGCTCTCAGCACCATCTGCAGCACATGTAGCAGAGTGTGAGCTGAGCAGACAGTGATGCAGAGTCCAACACAATCACTCAGTTATTTTCTCTTTTCAATGGAACTCTAACATATATAGAAACAATATCAGCAGATATAATCGATATCAGTATTTTGTACTTCTTAAAATCAGTATCAGCGCTAAAACTCCAGTATCAGGTGGGTTCTAGTACGTTATGTCGTACTTATGAGATGCTTTTCCAATGACTACAAGGTTCTGAAACTTGTGCAGGTTGTAGAAATGTCCAAAAAATGTTATGTACAACTTTGTGCAGGATGAATGTTTTACTTCTGTCTTGTGATTATCCTGCAGCTCCTTAGGTTTATCTGAATTTTTGGAAACCACTGATTCAAAATATCACTAAAAACATAATAAAAAACACTGTAATAGTTTAAACAACCCCTGATGGTTCACAGTGGGATGTTATTCAGCTAGCTGTGCAGGACAGACCATAACAGAGCTATTTCTGTCTCATCGTCTGATTATGAAAGTTTATTAATCTGCTCCTCGTTTTGAATAGAAACGGAACATTTAGGAGTGTTTTAGGCACCTTGGTTTTATAAATACTGAGGTTTTGGTTATACTGTCTGTGGTTTCTGACTTTGCCTTTGCTTTGTTTCAGGTGAATTGGGCAAATTGTGTGAAGCCATGCGGAAGCTGGAGTAACTGCACATGGGATCGGATTTGAAGCTCCAGAGAGTCTCTTCTTTCCTTCACTAAAATGGTCGTTGATGTATTGGGCTGATAGCCTTTTGCAGTTATGCTTAGCGTGCTTGCAAATTAGCTTTCTTCATAGTAAAACAAATATGCAAGTCAATTAAGGACCATATTACTGTAATCCAGCTAGCTGTGTATTGTAGTTCAGTGAATGAAGTGTAGCCTGTCACTTATGGATGATGATGATGATGATGATAAGAAGTGTGTATGTAGAAGCTGAACATGTTACTGTCGATATTGTAACCGCATAACTGTTACTGAAAGGACTGTTTTTCAAAATAAGAGCGTTTGTTGATCTCCTCTAGAACTTTAATGAACCGAAAATCCAACGTGAACGTATGATTTAGCTTCCAATAGGATGCAAGACAACTGCAGATGTGTTTTCTGTGCATTTCAAAATGAGAGATCATTTCTCTCACTAGCTTTTGTTTTCCTCAGATAAATTAAATATTTTGTATATGCATGAAACAAATAAATATTTCTCTTCTTTGACTTCTTTTTGTCCGTCTGTCTTCCAATTTAAAAAAAAAAAAACCTGAACTCACTATTAAACATTAAAAGTGGTGAGAAGCTCTTTTCTTTGTATATTTAAGGAGGGGAAGTAAAATAATCCACTTTTAACAGCTTTCAGATGATTATTTAGCATTCAAATAATTGACATAACTCAAACTAAGCAACGTATTTAAAGTTTTTAGAATTAGTTGAACTGAGCAGTTTAAATGTTGCTCCACCAATAAAAACGACTGAGAAGACAATATAAGGCGGTGGACACGTGGCATTTGTTGATAATTGTTCTGTACTTTCATTGACATGGGTTTTAATTTCATCTCCTTAATATGTTTTATTTGTGTTGATATTTGACATTTCTAACACCACATGTAGCCTGACTTACTCCTGTTATGACTATAAAGGTTTATTGGCTTTCTATTTTTAGAATATCTTATAAATCCTAACATTTGAACCATGTGTTTAAATGTGTTTAATATGCATGTGGGAATATATAATCACATCAGCTAAAAATATGAATAAAAAAAGGGAGAAAAACTATGTGATGTACACTGTGAAGGGTCAAGTTTTGTATTTAGGTGACTGCATTCTGTGACAATGTTTAGCTGAGACCTGTTTGGTTCGTTGTACATTTTGCTTACAGCTGAACTAAAAATCACCAACTCAGCTCTTCTTTTCCTTTTCTTAAGTGTGTTATAATCAGTTAGTATTGGAGTAATTCAGTGAATGCAATGGTACTTTTACTTGAGTATCTACTTGCACAAAGTGGACATACAGTTGATATTTTATCAGCCACACCGAGTTACAACCTGTACAACATTTATCCTGCCTCCATGGAGATTAAACTACAGAGAGGCTTTTATTGAGCCTGCACTTGTTGATATAAACGGGATAAAGATAATAATATAATGCAGTTCAGAAGCATCTCAAACTACATCCCAAATACACAAATATATATCACTCAGACTAAGCAGAACATCACCCTGTAAAAAAACAAATAAATAAATAATAGTAATAAAAAATAAATTAAATATATATATTTTTTAAATTAAAAAACGAAAAAGTGTAGAAAATCTGGCTGCAAGTATGGCAGAAAAAATACATTAAAAACAGGGCAAAACTAATGTTTAAAAATTGAAAAAAAAGTAATTATAATTTTTTAAAAAAAATAACAGCAAATATCTGTAAAAGAATGATTTTTTTTTTAATTTAATTAAAACATTTTTTCTTTTAGATAATTTAACTTCAATAAAATTGTGTATTTTTATGGTCACATGCTGTAAAAGAACAAATTACTATTTGCAAAAACAGATATTTGATGCATCAACATGTAAATAATGCTCTATTCTGATATTTTACTGAACAGTGTCTTTAGTTTGACAAAACAGGAAAATTTAGTAAAATTACAGCCTCAAAAACTGTTAGTTTGTGTCTGTAATTTACTAAAACAGAGAAAACCTGAAAAANTCTGTAATTTACTAAAACAGAGAAAACCTGAAAAAGTAATTTGTACAAACTAATTTAAAAACTAAAAATAGTTTTTAAAAGCTGCTTTTCTCCCTTGAACACTGTACTTTCTTCATGCCAGAATGATTTACTGTCTTGTCAGTAGGCATCTGAGTGTTTGCGTCAATAAACATAAAGTCATGATTTCCCTTTTCAGTTCTAAACACGTAACATTTATGTAATCTACAACAGTGCTTTTGCTTGAACGCATCCGTGCTTCAGGTCAAAATGTGCTATTTTTGCTCCAATAATAGAAATACTATTATGACGCAAAACTGCTCCGCAAAAAGCCAAACGCACGTGTCGCACTTGCGCAACAGCGCAGCGTGCAGCCTGGGACCAGGGCCTATTTAAGGGCTCCCCGGTGGGATGGAGCCACACAGCCTCCAGCCTCCAGCCTCCGGTCTCTCTGCAGCATCCAGCTCCACCCGCACAGCGCGCACATGAAGACGGACGGAGGGACGCAGACGTTCAGCGGCAGGAAGCAGAGTCTGATCGAGGATGCGCGGCGGGAGCGCAGCAGCGGCGGCGGCGGCTCGGCGGGCTCCCCGGGGCCCTCCCGGTACGGAGACGGCTTCGTGTTCGAGGAGAAGCAGGGCAGGGTCACCGTGAACGTCCTGTTCGCCCTCAGCGGGGGTAAAAACGCGGGATTCTTCAAAACGGGCAAAATATTTGAGGTTAGTCCTGAAAACCTGGAAAAATGCTTCAGTCAAAGTGAGGACAGATGAGAGGATGAGCTGTGGATGTGTAGTGATCACACATTTATGTCACTGTTGGATCGTTATACTGTCATGTTCTAATGTATATTGATTTGAGTGACATAATTGCAGGTTTGCATGTAATTTGTTTATTTGAAGCTGGTTTCAGCTCCTGTTCAGTCATTAAACCTCGGACATAATTCCTATGATGAAAATTTCAGGAACAAAAACTTGAACAAATATAATTCCTTTTACTGTAGACAGACCTGTGACATGGCTCAAGTAAAATCCCAGATACAAATCTGACTATTTTACCATAATTAAATATTCTAAGGATGTCTAACTGATAAATCAAACACATCCTGTGCATTTCAAATCAAAGCTACAGGCCTGATGTGTTCACAGAGATACTGAAACCTTTAGCTGCATTACAAAACACTCATTTAAATTTATATAATCATAGTAAACAATCCTCTTCTTCTTCTGCAACAATGAAAAAATAAAGATTCTCATATTTTATTAACAGAAGTGTTGGTCTGCAGTCTAACTACCTGATCAGCCTGATATTTAAAACTAAAAACTCTTTATTACCACACAGATAAATGAATAACATTAATAAGAAGTGTAATGTCATACTGGTGCTTTGCTTGGTTTTTATATTTTTATTCTACCAACATGATCCAGTGCAACTCTCCCCTTGTTTTTGTTCATCTGTAGACTCCAAGCTTGTGTTTTAGGTTTGAGTTATTGAAATTGTGTGCAAGAAAAATGTCCCTAAATGCATCACCGGATTTTAGCTTTGTAGTTCTCTGTTGATCAAAGTATAGTTCAACCATTCCAGGTGCATCCCAATAAATCTGTGTCAGACGAGAGAAAATAAGGCGATCAAAGTTAAATGAAGGCAGGATGGAAGAGTCCTCAGCAGCATGTGGAGATGTGCACATTTAGTTACCTTTAGAATAACGGTAGAAACTTTTCTTCAGCAGTGAAAAAAAAGAGAGAAAAAAAAACATAAAGAAAAGAGCAACAAGTGTTTGGTCCTCTTCTGCATCCTTTGACTCTTTCTTTTTTTTTTTTTTAACCCTTTTAGACGTTTGAAGCCAAACTCCTCCACATCGAGAGTCGCCCGGGCAGGAAGTCAAAGAACTGCACGACCGACCTGGAGTTCTTCATGAAGTGTGAAGTCCACAGCTCCGACCTGGACGTGTTCATCAACTCCCTGAAGCGGGTGGCAGACGACGTTCGCTCCGTACCGGAGGAAAAAGGCAAGCACCTGATTTTATTGTTTTGAACATCTCATATTGTGTCGGCCTCGTTGAACCGCTGAATGCTCCTTTTAGTCGTGGTAATAACATGCAACCAGGCCAAACACAAAAGCACTAATTAATCTTCTTTCTCCGTCACAGTTCCCTGGTTTCCCCGACAGATAAAAGACCTCGACAGATGCAACATGTTAATAACCAAATTTGATCCAGACATGGACCAGGACCATCCGGTGAGTGTTTACAAATCTAATGTAACGCTACATTTAAGATGTAGTGAAGCCGATTTGTGGTAACTGGATGATGTCTGTGCAGGGATACAATGATCCAGAGTACAGAAAAAGACGGGCTGCCATCTCTGAGCTGGCCTTCAGATACAAACAGTGAGTCACAGCTCAAAACAAAGTCTAACTACAGGTGAAATATTCTGAATGGATCTCTAAATGAACGTTCTGTGCTGCAGGGGAGACCCGCTGCCCACGGTGGAGTACACAGCAGAGGAAATATCTACATGGTGAGGACAGCCTGCACGCTTACTGATGCAGATGCATTGTGGGAGGATGTTTGAAGTGCACTGACACTGTGGGGTGTGACTGTGTTTAAAGGAGGCAGGTTTACCAGCAGCTGCGCAGTATCTACCCCAGTCTGGCCTGCAGACAGTTCCTGGACGGCCTGCAGCAGCTGGAGAAGGAGTGCGGCTACGGAGAGGAGCGCATCCCTCAGCTCCGAGAGATCTCTGCCTTCCTGAAAGGTGAGAAATAACAGAATCAGGAGGGACAGGAGGTGGTAAAAGTGGAACGTGTCAGCTGGTTTTTAAACTCTGAAGGAGGCAGAAAGTGAAGAGTTCTATCCAACAGCTTAAAGGCAAAGCTATGAGATGGTTTCTCTTTAAGGTAAAAGAGACTGAAAACTAAGAAGGATTTCTGTCTTCAAGAGAGGGAACATGAATATTAACAAGTTTCAGGAAATTATTATTTAATTTTTTATGATTAGGAGTCAAAAACCGCAAAATACTAGTATTATAATTAGCCGCCCCACAGTCCCAAACCAGAGGATACTCAGTTTATTATCATATATGACTAATACAAGCCTAAAACCTTCACAGTTAAAAGCTGGAACTGCCAAACAAAGATCTGTGCTGGTAAAACAACAGAAAAGATTATTTGATCATCAAAACAGCTGCAGATTACTTTTGTGTCACTGAACTGATTCACTGTCGCAGCTCTAATATTAAATAGAAGAATAAGGAGACAGCTTTTATCATAAAGTACGTTAGATTTAATAAATAAAAGGCGTCAAATTCAAATGAAGCATTGCTAAATAGAGACAATGTGAAAAGTGAAATGCAACAGAAAGGAAATATAATCAAGAAGGCTTCAGGCAACGAGAGAGGAGGAGACAAGGTTTCTGCAATTGTTTAAATAATGTTAGGAAAGTGTTTTCTTCATGTTAGCGAATTCGTAATCAGGTGCTAATAGGAATCAATACCTCATGTCAGTGTGCTGATTATTTATTTAGATGCAATTTTGATTTAAAATAATAAACTACGTGAGCTACAAGTATGAGTTATTTATTTAAAAAGTTATAGAATTACACAAATGCCGACAGGTTTTTCGAATATTTTAGCACTTCTGGGCCAAAATGGTTTCATAAAAAATTGGGAAAAAAAGTATGAAAAATTACACAATCTGTGCAGTCATAGCTCTAAATGTTATTTAGCTTTCAATAGGATTCATATTTGAGTCAGAGCAGAAGAGACGTGATCATTCATATCTGCTCCTTGTCTTTCTCTTAAAGTGTTTCAATGTGTTTAATCAGCTTTGAGTTTAGAATCACACTGAGCTCTGTGTGAACGCTGTTCGTCTTATGTCTCATGTCAAGTCTTATAGATTTCCTTGTTGTCGAACGCTGCTGCACAGACAAACCTGCCTTATATGACTGTCTGACTATACCAGATGTGTTGTCTCTGCTCTGTGGTGACTTTAGAGAGAACTGGTTTCCAGCTGCGTCCAGTCGCCGGCCTGCTGTCAGCCAGAGACTTCCTCGCCAGTTTGGCCTTCCGGGTGTTTCAGTGCACTCAGTACATCCGACACTCCTCTGCGCCCATGCACTCCCCTGAGCCGTGAGTCGCCCTCCTCTGGCTACAGACGTGTTCATTTATGCATTTAGCTGCGACTTGTTTCACTCACTGGGTTCGATCTGCTCTCACAGAGACTGCTGTCATGAACTGCTGGGCCATATTCCCATGCTGGCAGATAAGGAATTCGCCCAGTTCTCCCAGGTAGTTATGAGCTTTTTGTTCTTTGCTTTGGCCTAATTCTCTTGTAATATATCATCTTTAATATTTATTATTTTGAATGTTTCCAGGAGATTGGACTTGCTTCACTCGGAGCTTCAGATGAGGACATTGAGAAACTGTCAACGGTACGATTTATTTGCCGTCACAAAATGATTTCCAGCCTTCAATAAACCCCGAGTTGTAATTCTGAGGCGTTCCTGCAGTCATATGGTGCCATCTAGTGGCTAAACCAAATAACTGCAGCTGATGTTGACTTACAGCCTGCTACAGGTTATTTTTTAACATATTAATCAGCCTTTTGTGTTTGTTGTGTTCTCTCTGTAGTTGTACTGGTTTACTGTGGAGTTCGGCCTCTGCAAGCAGAATGGAGCAGTGAAAGCTTACGGCGCTGGACTCCTCTCGTCTTATGGAGAGCTTGTGGTGAGTGTGTTCTCTACATTCACACAAAGGTTTTCCTGCGTTGTCATGGTGTGCTGACTGTCTTCTGCATGTCTTTCCAGTACGCTCTGTCAAACGAACCAGAGTACAAACCCTTCAACCCGGAGGAGACGGCAGTGCAGCCGTACCAGGACCAGACCTACCAGCCCGTCTACTTCGTGTCTGAGAGCTTTGAGGATGCAAAGATAAAGCTGAGGTATTTAACATGAGTCAGTGTTGATTATTGTTGTACTACCTTCTCTTAACTTCAATATGAAGACAGTTTTTAGCTCCTACAGTCATTTAGTCACAGAGAAGTTTGCAGAATTTACATTTAAGATTAGAAATATGCATCCATTATTTACTTGTTTGTTCAACGAAAAAATACATTTCTTTCATTCAAAAGACTGCACGTTATATTTGGAAGTATTTAATTTTGGTAATTTACTGTCTATAACCTGAACACATCTAATAGTAAAGCCTTTCATAGTATTCTATTTCTTACCCACATCCATTATTGGGGTGTAACTGCTACAGTCTCATCAGAATCAATAAATGATCCACTATAAAATCAAACTCAGGAGAAAATCTGAATTAAAGCTCCTGTGTGGAGTTGTTATGACAACAAATGTGCAGTTAGTTACTCAATATAAAATCTTAAGCCCTAATAAATGTGATAATTGAAAATTATTTTCCTAGAAATGTTGGCAAAGCTGATTTTCAAACAGTTTAATCCTCTGAACCCCCAAACCCACCAGCAGGTTTGAAAGGCACCTTATCTTTGACAAATATCCCCAATATTACACCATTTGTCCGAGACTGTAGAAACTGAAAGAATTGTTGGATTTTCCACTTTCCAACATTCCTTGAACTACTCGTGTGTGATGGGCTGTTCTGACAAGAACCAAATCCAAGCCTAAAATCACTATATTTCATGGAAACCCCTTGATTCTACACGTCTGGTTCAAAAACCTGCCAAAAATAAACTGTTTGCATCAGATTCCAAGAAGCCATGACTGACTAAAAATTCAGGACTTGTCATGTGAATTGAACGCACTATGAGATGACTTGTTGAATTGAATTGAACTGCAGGCAGAGCAGAGAGGAGACATGTGTGGAAAACACTTTAAAATCCAAGTAGTGAAAATATCTGCAATATGTAGCGTCCATGTTTTTACCTGTGATGGGAACACCTGTGGGATGTGGCACATGTTGATTCCAGGATGGGGTTGTTTTGTTTTGTTTTTTTTTGCAAAATAATCAATTCTTTTTCATGTTTATGGCATCATTACTGTCATACCGTATACAAGACATGTTTGAGTTCTCTCTCCTCCTAGTTGTAGTTGTACCGTTTCCATAGAGATGCAGGACTTTATATTACAAATGAGCCCACAGTGTGTTGACAGGAGCAAAGTAAACTCAGAAACTGCTCAGAGTTCAGAAGGTTAAAATCTGCGTCATCTTTTGCTTTGTTGGAAGCTTACCAAAATCACCACACAGTGCCTTCGATGAGGGAAAAAAAAGTAATGCATATGATGCTCAGACATTTATAAAGATCTGTACCAACAGGGTACTGAAGCACTTCTGGCCACTGACTGTTGGTTGTTTTCCTCATGTTTGCCTCCCATTTGCACCAAAGTGAACTATTCACTTGTTTTCATAGGAAGTACTCTGCCAACATCAAGCGCCCCTTTGCAGTCCGCTACGACCCCTTTACCTGCAGTGTGGATGTTCTGGACCAGCCCAGCAAGATCCAGAACGCCCTGAGCCAGATGAGAGAGGACCTGAAGACCCTTCACAACGCCTTGGAGAAGCTCAGCTAATCTTAAAACCAGGAACAGAGACGAGAAAGTCACGCAGGCGGCAGAAGACATGACCGGACATTTAACCTTTGTTCGCTAAACACTGTACGTGTTAGATTTGCGGTTCTGACCAATACAGAACATCACAATGTAGTCAGGTTAGTGAGGCTCCATTTACTGGTGTGTATAATGTATTATGTAAAGAAATAAACATTTATTTTCATGAGGACGTCTCAGTGTTTTCCAGACACAGGAAAGATTTCTAAGAAGAAGGTGCTGAGGAGAGAACAGTTGTGTCAGCATGAGGAATAAGAGAGAAGGAGTGAACCACTACAATACGGGGCTTGTAGACCATGTTCTAGCTTTTAATTCCAAACCAACTATTTCCATTTGGAAAATTCTTGGAACCCATTTATCTTCATGTGTTGTTAAGCAGAGGGAAGGAGCTAATTATAAATGATTTAAGTATCATGTTCCCTCTGCTGGTCAAGGCCAGAGCCAGCAGTGAGGCCCAGCTCACCAGCAGGGCCAGGTCACCGGGACCTCACAGCCGACCACAGCACGGTCCGCAGCCCTGCACTGCTGACAGACGCTCTTCTCTCTTTATTTCTCTTTCTGCGTGCCACTGGAGAGTTTGGCCTCCGAAAGGGTGTTTGACGCCCGTCCAGCGTTTTGATCTCCACACAGGCGACAATGCATATCGGAGCACGTCAAAGCTTCCCCCCTCCCCCTCCCCGAGGAGACAAATCATCCCCCATCTGCAGGATTCATAAAGCATCACCACCATCAAGACGGTGGCTGGCAAAGCCTCGCCTCGGCCACCTTGTGCTTGGGAAGCTTTCCCCTTCCCATAATTCCACTGTACAGTAAATCAAGCCTCCCTCCAGCTTCCCTGGGAAAGCCTGTGTTTGCAGAGGAGAAAAAATTGTGTGTGAAGAGAGAGAGAGAGAGAGAGAGAGGGATAAAGCAAGTGGAGGGAAAGAGTGATCTACGGCTTGACAAGTGTGCAGCGACACACACACACACACACACACACGCTCTCCAACCAAAAGTCTCACACTTTATAATTTCTAGTATCTCGCTCTACATCCAGCGCTCTCAAATCCACAAATCCCCATGAAACCACCGCCAGGATCCGAATCTGCTGAGCGCTAAACAAAAGCAGGTTGCCGCAGCAACGGGGCGACCAGTAAAGGGATCCAGCTAGATTCTTGTGCCTCGCTTACTCGCCGCAAATCCCAAACGCTGTATCATCCTGACTCCAACCATAAGTGTTTCCTTTATTGATGTGGGGACCATCCTGCTGGCTTGGTTGCCTCTTTCGCTGGAAAACAGGGTCATGAGGTTCACTCTGTCCTCAGGCCTGAGAAAGATACTCTGAGAGGTGTGAGTGAGCCTGGAGATTCAGCTCCGTTAATACCTGACTAATCATTTACCGAGGCTTTATACTGCGGCTACGGGCCACTAAAGGAGTAGTCCAACATTTTGGGGAGACAGATGAGAGGAGTCGTGCCAATCTCATGTCTGTCCAGCTTGAAGTCGGGAGAAGAAACAGCGAGCCTGGCTGTGTCCAAAGTTAAATAAACACGCCTGCCAACATCTCCCGAGCTCATTAATTATACCTCTTTTGTTCAAGTCAAAGAAAGAGAATTTGACAATTTGTGGCTTTAGTTAGGTGTTGAAACAAATTCTTGACGAACAACTGCCAAACCAGACTGGATAAAGCTGGGATAGGCAGGAATTTTTTTGGCATCCTTGGGCAAAAACTCCACACCAAGCTTTCAGCACATTGTAATAGAGGTGGTCTGAGGGCTGACTAGGCTTCTGCACCTCCCTCCTGGCTCTCTTTTCAAGATTTAGAAACTCTGGAGATTTTAGCCAATCACGGGATTTTTCACAGATCAGATGAGATAGTACAAGTAGCAGTAAAGTCCTGGAGCTATGGATCAGGAAGCTAAGATCCTAATCCTGTGTGAAGTCACAAATAAATGTTGACCTTTGAGGCCAGTTCACGCTTTCGGTATCCACAGGAGTTCACCAAACATAAACTTCGTGAAGGTCTACGTGGACATTTGGGTGCAACCCAAAATGTGCGACTATGCAAACTGTCAAAACTGAAAGAGTATCTACTGGACAGGCGCCATGGCAACAGATGGTGCTTAAAACATAGGCTTGTCATGACGACAGACTGCACGAGGAGATTCTTCTTCATCCACACCTTCAGAATTCAGCAGTATGTTTGATATGAGGGGCAATGTGACTGCCCAACACACACGTGTTTCAGCACATATAGAACCGTGTGCGTCCACTTTCAGCTTCCCTGATTCAACCTACTGCAGCTTTAAAGGCCTGGAAGCATCTGGAAGTCAAAGCAGTGCAGCCAAAATAAACAGAAGTCCATCAATATGATGATACATCCATCTTGAATTGTCCTAAAGGTGATATTAAAAGAATGAGGCACAAAGCAACCTGACAGCCAAGTTGTCAGACCACATACCACATAGGCAGAAATACCCCAAGCTCCTTTTTTCCACTCTTCCCGTCTCTCTCGACTGCTATTATGAAACAAAAGCATTAAAATGCTTCAAAAAAATATGCCAAAAGAAAGATGAGGCACTTAACAAATGATGCCTCGAAGGGTCATGTGGCATTTTAACAACACCGGATTTACAGAGAAATACCGAGAACAAGAGAAAGAGCGTCATGACTGAAAAAAAAACATTAATCAAAGACCACAAATGGTGCTGAGATGGACTTCGAAAGCCAGAAGGAAAAACCGAGAGGAGCACGATGACCTGGCGCAGAGCTGAGACCGACGAGGTAGCCAACATGATCTTATCTGGGAGCTCAGTGTGGTCTTACGTCAGTAGAATTTTTGGAATGTGACAAAGACGAGGGAACCATTTCTCCTGCTTACACTGTTTATAGCAAGTCAAACTAAATACATCTTGACTTCAGCTTCGCACTTCATAAAAAAGTCCTCTTATCCTCACACTTAATCAGAACACAGTTGATTCCCCAAAAATGTGTGTGCAAAGTGAAGAAAAATCCCTTCAGCTGCTGGTTATTGCACTCTATCAAGGCACAGTTTTAGTTGATCATGGAGTACAGTGGATGGAACGGTAAATATATCTGTACTGGTTTCTTCTGTCTGTTAACCCGTCAGCTCTGCAGCTCTAAATAAATGGACAGATGCTGCAATGCCAACATATGCGCCTCAGGTTTGTAGCTGCCATGAATAAGAGGCTCTTTTACAGGAGCCAATTGACGACAAGAGCAAACAGATAACACACTCAAGACTGCTTCTGGTTTATGATTTGTCCATCAAGACAGAGTAAATTATTTCTTTTGGATGCAGGCTCGGTCATAATACGACACTCTGAGAACAGATGAGGTTAGGGGCCTAACAGAGGCAGGCCGAACCCTCGACCCTCTGCTCAGTAACCCAAAGCCCCAACCTCTGAGCCACTACTGCCCCTGATGATCAACAAACTCCACCCAAAAGCAGTGATGGGGCACTTTCTGACTGACTCCTTCCTCCTCATCAAGATCAACATAATCGCTTCATTCTGGGAAAGCATCGCAAACAAACCAGCAGCGAGATTAAATCAAACACCGGCCTCAAAGAGCTCTAATCTCTTTCTTTGTTTCCCCTCATATCATGCTCCTCATTATTTTTATTTGCTCTCCTTTTTGTTGAGCCTGGGCTTAAAGTTGGCAGGGCCGCAGATGAATTATCTGAGGGGGGAGATTAGGAGAAAGTTGGTGAGGATTTTAAGGCGGTCTGATCTCGCTTTCATCCATTTCACAGTTTGTTATTAGTCCACACTCCGCCACAAGAGATCAGGCTGTTTGTGAGGCACAATAGCCTCATTCAGGCTACATCAAAGGCAAGCGTGGAGGCCGTGACATCTGAGGACGTGCTTCCAGGAAAGAGGCAAGATTGTACGATCTCCAAGATGGATCACATGTAGCAGAAAAGCAGACAAGATGGAACTGATGCTGTTCCGCCTGTCAGCCATGAGATGGTGTCCTCGAGTCACTGGATGTGTAAAGTCGCTGAGATTCATGACTCATGTTTCAGAGGAAAAGTGGCTCAGTTAGCGATTCCAGTGCCCTCTATAGCTGGGTCTTTTTTTTTTCTCTTTGCTCTTTGGAAAACATTCAGACGAAAATGGCAGCCTCTTGCTCTGACATTGACGTCTCTGTGTCGAACGCAGCTGCTCCAGCACCACTTGCACCTAAAGCACAGCAAACGTTAGAGAGCGCAGACCACATTGGACTTGTTCAAACAAAAGAGTGGACCAGGAGAGCAGTAGCATGTTATGCTTTGTGGACGGCGGTTAACACGTCCAGTCCAAGAAATATACGAGGCTGATGAACTGGTTTGAAAGAGTGGCGCTCTCTACGGCCTCCACTCGCTCCATTCTGTCGTGCAGAACCATCGCCATACAATACAACCTAGTGTTTCAGCTGACATATACGTTCATAAAGTACAATAAACGGCTCTGTTAGACGCCCAAGTGTGATCACGCATTGATCCAACGCTGCACCCTTGAAGATTAAGTACATCTGTGGAAACAAGTGATCAGCTGTCACCTCGAATGATTCATGATCAAGTTAATTAAATGGGTACCCTCTGCAGCTTAGTGGGCATATGACTGCTTTGAAAATGGAGAGGGTGGTTTCTCACACAAGGCATTCCTGTGACAGTACAATGAGTCCTTGTTTTACTGGAGGGCACCGCAAGTTTCTGCCAAATGAACCCTCGTCTTTCCCTGTTTGGTCTGTGGAGCATTTATAATTATTCACCGAGGTAAGGTGAGGAGCATCTCTTCCTCGTCCTCTGCCTGCATCCTCACCAACCGCGTGGTTCGCCACAAAGCTGGAGATGACCTGAAATGGCCTCAGACTTCCATGTTTCCTAAAGCTTTTCCTAATCCTGTGGATTTTCTGTGCACCACAGCAGATGGAACAGCACATACAAAGATATTTTCTTGATATGACTCAGGATCTGCCATGGATATTAAGAAAATTGAGGAACAGAGAGGGAGAGGAGACACCTGTATGTATGCGATGATCACGCTGACTGGTGGAGTGCAGAGTTGGCACGGATGCCTCGACGCATTCCTTTGAACTTAGCGGGCATATGACTCTTTGGAAACCGTTCAGAGTGTGCACAGATGAAAATGGCAGGCTCCCGCTCTGACATTCAGTCTCCGTGTT